AAGCCTGCCTGACCCTTCTATCCTTTATGTTAAGGGGTTACGTTTTTGTGTTCTCCCTTTCTCCAGCATCAAATCTTATAGTATCAAATCATATAGTATATCTTATCTTTTTAGTGGGCTCTTAGACAAGTTAAATGTAACAAAATTGTAACAAAATGTTCCCCTTAGCCCAACCATTTCAGACACAGTGACACATGGCATCACACCAGAGATGAAGCACTTTCTCTTAAAACTAATGTTTGCCTGGATTTTATTTTGTTTTCACCACACATGAAAGTTGTCTATATTCACTGCGTGTTTCCCTGACACAGGACAATTGTCCCTTTAAAAAGGTCTTAACCGGAGGTCATCTGCGTTATCACCTCTGGTCTTTGGCCTGAACTTCAGAAAAGTCAAAGAGGTGTTGTTTGAGGTTCTCAATGTGTCCATGGGCTCATGTAGGGACAATTCCTTCAAAGTAAAGCTTGTAGACATCAAAGCTTTTTTTCGGCACAAATTCTCTGTGATGGCATCTTGAAGCACAGCAGACAGGTCAGTGGTGTGTGTGTGTGTGTGTGTGTGTGTGTGTGTGTGTGTGTGTGTGTGTGTGTGTGTGTGTGTGTGTGTGTGTGTGTGTGTGTGTGTGTGTGTGTGTGTGTGTGTGTGTGTGTGTGTGTGTGTGTGTGTGTGTGTGTGTGTGTGTGTGTGTGTGTGTGGGGTTGTTGATACACATGGTCAGCACAATTACAGAACATCAAAGGTGACTAACATCACTGCTGTAAATCCCCCAAAGTGAATCGTCCTGCAGAGTAAACGAAGATGTGGCCACTGCTGAGGAGGGATGAAGAGGGGAATGAAGATGAGTTATGAGGCCCATGTGAAGGGGCAGGGGATATAATGGAGGGAAGCGATTAAGGGAAAGATTTGGATTGATGGAGGGATGGAAAGAAGAGGCTCTTACTGAAGCTCTAAAAAGGAAGCAAGCAGAGATGTGGGCATGTGAATCCACATCATAAAGAAGAGAAAGGTATTTGCATATGGAGCGGCTGATACCTTCGAGACAGGTGCAGCTCTCACAGCTGGAAGACTGACAGCACTGGGCAGGTGTGAAGCTCGGCACATTCAGAAAGTGACACTTAACGAGAGTTGTGTGTGTGTGTGTGTGTGTGTGCGTGTGTGTGTGAAAGGTGCACCATTCATCTTAAACAGCCCTTTGTGTAGCAACCTTCAAAAATAGATACATACTGTATCAGTTCTCTCAGTTTCTCCCAGCACATCCATCAGCGTCCTTCTTTCTAATTGCTGTTTTCTTATCTACAGTGTTCTCTTCTTTCTCTCCTAAAGTTTCACCAAGGGACAGGAAAGTGTTTTATCGACCGAGCATTTATGTTATTACTTTATGAAAACCTGAGGTGTGTGTCTGGACTGTTGACTGATTTAAGGGCTTATGTTATTACCTTTAATCACAGCATGTCATACAGCATGAGAACATGTTTAACTTGTCAATGTGTTGCTTGGCCAAGAGGTGGGCTATATTTCATTCTGAAACAGTCTTGCACTGACAAACCTAAATGAATGCATCAATCAATATTCTCCCTTTCTCCCCATCCTGCTTTATTCCCCTGTCATTTCACTGGTGGAGACCAAGTAGCCATTTTTAAACAAGCAGCATGAATTGCTAAGATTAAGGACAATATATTTCGTCATCTTTCTTCAAGTTAATGTCAATTTGTTCTATCCTGTTTTTGCTCTGGGACTTTGGTTAAATTAGCCTCATCAGCAAATCATTTTGTATCCAGACACATTTGAGGTCATTGATTGGAGACAAAAACAATCAGTGGTTTCCTTTTGTAAAAACAAAACAGAATAAAGGCTTGATTAAAACAACATTTTTCACCTTTCACTAAGAAACTTATTGACAAATCAAATCAGAAATGGTCACAGATAATAAAATAATCCATAGCAAGAATAGAAAAATGTGTCCTGAAAAGTTGTGCTTGAATAAAGTCTCAACTCTAACTTTTACGCTTTTGGGTTTCTCAATAATGACTTTAAAGTATCTAACTGTTGCCGTACTGAAGAGATGAGTGTGTTTAAATTAAAAAAAAAAATGCTTTTTGGGGGGTAATATGGTCACAGGATATAACTGTAACATTCACTTTAACATTATATCCCAGGCGTGATTGTCCATGAATGATCATTCTGACAATGTTAAATATTGCCATACAAATATACAGTGTTGGGTCGGGTTTTCGTGACAGCTCAGTGGCTGTTGCATGCTATTCATTCACTGCATGGCTTCAAATCCATTGTTGCCTGTCATCCCACCTGTCTCCTCCATCTGTCCTGTTATTATTATAGAAAATACTACAAACGAAAAACTTTCAGCAAATTGGGAAAGTTGGAACATCGTTTGCTTTGGGGAATGCAAAAATGACTTGACATCGAGGAAGGTTGAGAAAAATCAATCATGCAAAACAACATTTGGCATGAAAAGCTATTTCTGTCTGGTCTTCCTCAACTTCTCTGTCCCAGTTCAGAAACTTGCTCTGATTGATTGAGTGGTAATTGAGTTTTTCACTGACCCCTCACTTTTCATCAGCAGAAGAATCACACCTCCGCTGCAGAAATGCAACCCTCTCCAGGCTGTAGTTATTCCTGGCAGGTGGGCTGATTGCAGCAGCTTTCTTCGGTCTAACATGACGTCTTATTGCCATTACCTAATTCCCCTCTCAGTCATCCTCTTCTGACTTACTGAAAAAGATACCTCTCCCTCCAGTCTATCCGGCACATTTACATCCTCTCAGTCTCTTCCTATCCATATTCTCATATTACTTTTTATGCACTCTACCTTTCCTCACACCTTTATGCACATACTTCACTATCTAGATGCTGTTGGAGCAGAACTTATTGAAGTGACATGTTCAATATGTAAATATTTTTCTACTTAAAACCACCAGAGAGCCATATCTCCAGCTACTGTAATACCCTGAATCTGACTTATTACTAGAGGCCTTTAAAACGAAATACATAAACGTCTTTTAAGGTACAACTCTACAATGGCTTATTAAAGCAAATATCAACATGTGAAACCACACTATAGGGATCACATAATACGGTTACAAAAATTGAAAATGTGGCAAGTGGAAAGTGGCCAGACTAGTTTGAGCTGACAGAAAGAAAACACTAACTCAAAGGTATGCAGAGCATCTCTGAATGTCACACCTTGAATCCGATTGGCTACTACAGCAGCAGAATACCACATGTTGGTGCTACCTCTGTCAACTATAAGAACAGTAAACTGCGGCCTGAATCTCCAAAATTGGACAAGAAGATTGGAAAAACGTTGCCTGTTCTGATGAAACTCCAATTCTGCTGCAACATTCAGATAAATGGGTCAGAATTTGCCGTAAACAACATAAAAGCATGTAAAAGCATCCATCCTGAATTGTCACGGGTAGTGGTGTATTTGTGTGGGAGAGATTTCTTTTGACACACTTTGGGCCTTTTAGAAACAATTGAGAATTGTTTTAACGCCATGTATTGTGCTGCCCATGTCCATCCCTTTATGACCTCAGTGTACCCATCTTCTAACGGCTATCAGCAGGATAATACGCCATGTCGAAAAGCTAAAATCTTCTCAAAGTGGTTTCTTGAACATGTACTCAAATGGCCACAACATTCACCAGATCTCAATCCAATAGAGCATCTTTGGGGTTTGGAGGAAGGGGAGATTCTTAACATGGATGTGAAGCCCGCAAATCTGAAACAAATGAATGACGCTATCATTTCAACGCAGACCAAAATATCTGAGAAATGTCTCCAGCACCTTGTTGAATCTATGCCAAGAAAATAAAGGCAGTTTTACATGAGAAAGGGGATTTCATCTAGTTATAGCAAGGTGACGATTATTGTATTGCAACATAATACGATGGGCTTCAGTTTAAGATGAACTGTGATTCATTTAGATATTTTAAGGGAGATATTAACACTTACAATATAGCATAGCACCTTGGCTTACATTTGAGTATACGTATGTTGTGTTTGGGATTGGTTTAAGTAAATCATTATGGATATGAATGAGGGATTTCTATCCAAATAAATCACAGTTTTTCCCTATTTAAAAAAAAAGTATTTTCCATACAATATCCGTTCCTGATTGACTGGAATTTGTTGTCAATAATTTATAATGTATATCAAAGGTAGAGCTGAGTAATACAGCCTTGTAAATTAAAATGGAGAAGTAGTGCTCTGTCGGTAGAAAGACTCCACAAACTGAACAGAATAACACCACCACAGCATGCAGATGGGGAAGCTAAAACACAAGATGAATTATTCTTGTTAATATAAAATCATGAACATGTGTCGGTGCATGTAGTTGCTTGTGTTTTGTGAGCGGATGTCTGTGCATGAGAGCGATTCATAAGCTTTCAAAACACAAGTATTTGGAATAAAACATCAGAGCTTCTCTCTCCATTCGAAAGAAAAAGAGGATTACAAAAATAGACTTATACAGATGTTTTGGCAACTATTTATTCAACAATTTTCATTTCATACATGAGAACGAACCTCTAAATTAAATATAATAAATCCCACAGACAATGGGGAAAAAACACCTTCATTACGGTGCTAAATATCTAATCAAGCCCTCTCAGTACAGCTTGATAAGAAACCCATTAGTTCACCATGGTACATGTGTCTAACTCGAATCCTGATCTTTACTGTGGATATTTTGTATTTTGTGAGTGATAGTGCGTTACAACTTGTTCCATCTAAGTACTGATATACAGAAAGATGCGTGTTGCTACAAGGAAACATTATGAAATAGAGCAAAAGCATTGAACTGCTTACATAGCATAAGCTAAATTCAGATAACATTGCGTATCAACACAACTTCTATCATTCTTGAAAACTCGTGATTATTTGCAGCATATTTCTAAATGTCAGTATTTCAAGTCAGTGATCATATAAAACAATGCCTCTTAAGTCTAATATCCCAATGATAGCAAGATGACAATTACTGAAGAATCACTGAATAGTTTTATTAACATTGCGATAATCTTAAACTCAACAAATACATGGTGTCGGCATTCAGGGACGAGCAGAGTGATCAGTGCTCACAAGTCCCCATTTTAAGACAGAAAACAAACAAACTCAAAAATAATCTCTCTAAATGAAATATTTTCCTGAGATGCAAAAGAAAAGAAAAAGAGATATAATAAAATCAAATCTTGACACGTGATTGTGTCACATGTTTTGTCATCTTTGTGATGATATGGAGATTAAGCTGATTGGTTTTTAGTGTCAATAGTGCAGAGGGACAAAGAAGTGTGCTGAAGCCAAACTGCACAGCAAAGACAGGGTCAGAGGAGGAGCGATAGCGCTGGACCGAAACATGCCATGCTATCATCACTTCTGTGGAGACCAAGACCATCAAAACCATTATTTAAAACAAGATTTCAACCAGTACAGTAAAGTATTTCAGACAGATTATGACTCAAAGTGGCCATTCCTTTCTTATACATCCCTTTTAGGTGAGGGATCCAAAGTGGTTATTTGACTTGATATGGGCCTCCAATTTCCTGAAACTGGGGACAATTGCTTGCGCTAACTTAGACGAGAATTCACGTGTGTGTCTGCCCCAACTGACTGCAATACTTTGTGACCAGAGAGGCTCTTCTGGGGCAGTGCAGTGTGTTGAAAAGGAGGCTGTAGCAGGATGAATACATAATGCAGTATCAGTAGGTGGAGTTTGGACAAGCTTCAATAATAACCAATCACATCAGCTCGTCTCATCCCTCATTAAAAGAAGCAGACAGGCAGGAGGAGGGCAGAATAACAAATTGGAGGTGCAACGCACAATAAAACAGCTCCCGAAATATGCAGCCAAGGATGTTCTGATGTCCCTTTTCAATGTAAAATGTAAGTTTCAGGATACACTGAAACCCTCTGATATAATGTTATTTAATTATAACTGCACTTAGTCCCCATCGACAGTAACTTGTAGCTTAATATCTTGCTAGCATTACTGTTAACAGTTGCCCTACGCAGGTGGAACACACATATGACTACAATTCAGCCTACATGAGAGATATTTTCATGATTGTGTACAGGTCTTTTTTTGTGCAATCACTGCCGTGAAAATTGTTCACGAAATTGTGTGCAATTTCATGCCGAAATGACTGCCAGTATTGCATTTCCTGATCTGCATTAACAAGTAATCTCAGCTGCACCACTCCCACCTTCAGACAAACAAAGTGGCTTCGTTTGGAGCTGGGAAATTTAACCTAACAGAAGCCAGTCTCTATAATGGATGAGTGCCTGAAGAAAATTGCACCGCGAGTATGTTAGCGCTATAACTGTCTTGCCGCCAGGAGGAAATTAGAGGCCCATAATATGCCGGATATTAACCAAACCCATATACAGTATGTTGGAAAGCAAGGAGGCAAAAAGTTTAAAGCTTAGTTTTAACCGACAACAAAAAAATGTATTGGACTAATAACCAACCAAAAGATGTAACACAGCTACAGTTGATCTATCATAGTAAAATAGTGCATGATGGTATGTGCCAGGCTGCTAGAATAACAAATTAAAAAAAGATTCAGGTTCTGTCTAACTATCATGAAAAGTAATTTGAAACTAATCAGCTCATTACTTTCACGTCAAAACAAATATTTACATGTGGTTTTCAGAAAGGAAAAAACAGACACATTTCACCATTTACTAAGAAATATCCATCAAATTAGTCAGAGTGCATAATTCAGTAAATGGCACCTGTTTCAGTTCTAAACACCAACTCGTCACGTCAGACCCGGTTATTTGTGAGTGTTCATTTAATATAAAACAGCCTGTTCCTCTGACTTCAGAATCAACAAATCCATTCAAACACTCTCTTATTTCTAAGATGGATGAAACAACAGAACATTTGATTGACACCGTCATTGATTTAAGACACAATGAAAAGAACAAGAGATAAAAAAAGTAAAAAAAATACATAACACTATTGTGATAAATGTACCTATACACACACATGTGATACAGAAGGTTTTTAAGAACGCTTTAGTGCTGAAGGATAATGTGGTGAGGCTGAAGTCAAACCTGTAAATAGTTAAATATTGATTCAAGTGCACTGAAATGATTCAATATGGCAACTGTGGCTAAGCTTTTGCATTTTTAAAACAAATCATTAAAATGTTTAAAATGTAATATGCAACCTAAATTCTACATCAGTGGTGACATGTTTAATGATTCCCAACTTGTGATTCACTCCAGCAGCTCGAGTCCTACACATAGAGAAAGACCTTACTTGCTGACCTTATTTGCATAATGTTGTAAATTGGCCATCGAATTGGAGACAGCTGGGCCCAGTATTTTATTGCCCTTGGTAATAATTTGCTCCCTTTTAGTAGATTAGTGCCTTGCCTTTAAGTTTTAGTTCCAGAGGCCACAGTGTTTATCCGTCTTTCATGGGAAACTAAATCAGCCAAATTTGTTCAATCTGATGAAAGACGACTGGCAGGGATATATGAAAAGAAACAGAAGTTGTCTCCAAGGATATGTTTCGTTTGTGTGGGAAATTTTCAGCCTCCAGCTTGAAGGTAACGTTTCTTTGAAAGCGTTTCAACTCTGATTTTAACTTTAGGGATTTGGGGACGGCAGTTGGGCCATTTCTTCATTTCTGTTCAGCTTTGACATTTTTGCTAACCACATTTTTTACAACATCAAATCCTTTTCGATTTTTAGCACCACAATCACAAGAAGCCACGACTCTCCAAAATGAAGTTACAAACATACTTTCATTGCGGTTCTCTCTCAAATAACTTCCGTTTAAATAAATTAAATATGATAAAAGAACCAAACAAAAACATGCTAATGTGTATAACCAAAGTTTAGTTTTCACACATTATATACATGCCTTGTGCCAAAACAAAATACATTTGTTTAAAATTGTTCCAATAAGTATTATGCACTGATAAAAATGAAAAGAAAAGTAAATAGATAGGGTGGCTAATATACAAATTTGAAGGAATCCAGAATTTAACAGCAATTTTCACAATCAACCACATTTTAGCGTACACAATACACAGCAGGGAGCTTAGAACCATTTAAAACAAAAATATTAAAAACATTTCCTTTTTTTATAAAAACATGATTTACCGTACAGTTTCAAAAAAATGCACTGATTTATTTTTCTCCAGAATTGAATCAAAGACAGCCTCAGCATCTCTCCACTGCCCATTTGAACAGAAGAAACATTCCCAAGGCAATCCAGTTGTTGGCAAGGGAACACAGTTTCTCATTCAGACATTTTTGTGCTTCTCTATTTATCTTCAGTTTTTAGTTTTTGGAAAGGAGCCCCCTGCAGATCTATGACCCAGCACTCACACACTATTTCCTTTTTCCCCCCTCTTTTTTTGCTTGAAGACCCCATGAAATGGAAATCGAAGCGCAGGTCATGGAGAGTGACTCCAACAAAATGGAAAGCAGAAGAGCAGTTATGCAGTATAATGGGGAGAGTTTCTGCCATGTTGGTGATATATACAGTTTAACTAAATAGTTCAATTGAGATAAAAATACCAAAAATGTGGTTTAAGTCAAATTGAGGTTATCACTATTTGTATAAAATAATATTGAAGCTTATTTTTGAGCCAACACAGGAATGTGTGTAGACAAATCAAATCAAATCAAATCAAGTTTTATTTATATAGCACATTTTTAAACTATTTTTGGTCGAGCAAAAGTGCTGTATATATAATAAAAATACCCTACAGTACAGACAACCTTGTTGAAAGCTGTCTTTACCTCAAGCTTAAAAGAGGTGACCATGATAAATACATTATTAACAGGGGGGAGGAAAAGTGATTTAACACTACAAATGCATTTCCTCCTAACTTATTTGATTAACTTCTCATGGTTCATCTTACATTTCACGGGGTCCTTAAGTATTCAAATGAATAAATGGTGACATAAACACAAACCAAATAATTCAAAGTGAAAAGCTAAACTAATTTCAGTACAATTTATACAGCTTTTAGAGAGAGAGGAGATGTATTCCTTCTGTACACCTGAACCCTTTATATGAATCACAAACTACTGTAAGCTGTCAAGAGGACCTTGAAGGTGTTGGTGTGTCGCTAAACTGCAGCCTGGACAGTGCAGGAATATACAGAGAAAAGTACAGCAGATTTAGCAAATGGTTTTATACACTTGATTGAGTTTATTTAATGGAATGCTTCATGTAGCATGTGTTTATTCTCTGCTCTAAACAATACAACACTACCCTTATAACCCCTACCCTCATAATGAAAATCATATGATACACTTATCTGACAAAGCTTGCTACAGTGTTACACAAAACCTTCTTCTTATCTTACAAGGGTCAACTGTTTAATTACAAGTCTATTTAGAGGGGGATGGGGTCGGGGGACGTGGATCTAAAAGTACCATATTCAGTGTGATAGACATGTATAAGGCGTAAACAGCAAAGATCTTCAGTAAAATAAAAAAAGACACAATGCATAATCAAAGAAGCTGTGAGCTAAGCAATGAAATGACGGTCCAGTTAACCCATCTACAAAGCATTTACATTGCTACTGACAGACGATACATGAAGGCATTGACAGAAGTTCAATGGCGTCTGTATTTTTAGGCACCGTGTTGATGTGAGATATGATCATGTGTTTGTGGACGTGTGTGTGAACAAAGGGGATATAGTGTGTGTTTGTGTGTCTGCTTGGAGGGGAAACAGCAGAGAAGATGAAAAAGGGCTCATGTAAGAAAGCAGTCATGGTAGATATACAGACTTCCAGGCATTCATGTCAAAGGTGAGGAACAATATGAGAACGGGATCATTTGGGCAGCGACTGCAAGCTGCCTGTGAAAACCGGCTGCCAAAGAAAAGAAGAAAGCAATAAAGAAATAAAGGACACGATGTAAATGATAGACAAAAGGCAATAATAGGAAAACACTTGGGGAACTTCTCTTGTCTGTGGACTGCCTGCGGGTTTCTTGTTGATACGGCGGGGGCAGTTGTCAGAGGTGGAGAAGAAGAGAGAGAAAAAGAGATACAGAGATTGAAAGAGGGCTCCCTCTGCAGTCTAAATGAAGTATTCTTTCTTTTCTTCTGCGTGAGCATGGTTGCCCTCAGCGTTGATGATGGCTGTGTCGGCGTCGGGCGCATCGTCCGCTCCTTTGGCCTCGTTCGTCAAGTAAGTTCCTGAGAAAACGAAAGACAAACCTACGTCAAGGAAAAACAAATACTGAGCAGCCCGGCATGGTGTCTGCTGCCCGGGGCGAAAAAACACATATGAAGATAACATCAATAATATCAGCAAACGGCTAAATAATTCATCCAATACATATGAGAGGCTAGGGTAGGACATGCAAATACAGCTGAGCATTAGAGAGTACAACCTTGCTTTCTTTATTATTTTTTAATGATGGAAGTCAAGGCTCAAAGTCGGACATCTAAATTATATAAAGCACGACTCAACTTAGTAGCATCAGCGTTGGAAACTGACCATTACTTTTTCACCCAGCATTCTTTGCTGTTGCCACTTCCTTTCCGGCAGAGTTACTACATGTATTACCCAGACATTAAATATATTGTTTTATTCAATTGTAATTAAAGATGTGAGTTGTTTTATACATGTTTGTACAGTTTTTATGAAAATGGAAAACTATTTTATGCAATTAAGATTTGAGGTTTTTAACCTACAGAATAATATGAGTAGTATAAAAACAGATGGGACATTTGGAGCCTTAGTACAGTCAAATATTTACAATTTATTTTTTGGAGTTATAAGAAGCACGATTTGCCATAATTTCGAAAGAGATAATGATATCCTATGAAATTGTAAGTCTTACTGAATCCAACACTAGGTGTTAAATGTGTTACGGTCAGAGTTATGACTGAGTGCACATTTTGACAACAATCACGAGCCAGGGTTAACAGTTATACATTTGTATAGTCCTATTACTCTCCCAAATATAACATGACTGTTTCATGTTTAATGGATGATAAACCAGTGAGTTCTTTGTATGCACAAAGGACACCACACTATGTGCGCATCCAAAACATGTCCTTTAATGCATCCTGTGTGTGTAGGACTTAAGCCTCCATTCTTTTCCCTCCATTGGTATGTTGCTTGGGATTTGGGGAGGGACTCTGATGTCTAATGGGACACGTAGGACATGCTTCTGTTGCTCCATGAGCCTTGAGAGGTCTGGTCCACTGTGGTGTTACCTTTATGCCTGGCCAGGTATCTTCCCAGAACAATGATTAGACACAAGGTGACGAAGACGACCACAGCCACCACTCCTCCGATCAAGGCATGGTCCGTGCCGTGCTGCCCAATGGCGTTAGGATCTGAGGAGGGACAGAGAGAGAAACAAAGAGAGCAGATGAGTCAGGGCAGGGGGAAAGCAAAATACAGACAATTCAAAACAGACAGAGGAGGAAAAATATGATTATTTCCAGCTCGTTCCGGCTCTAATGAGCTGCTGTCATTCCTCTCTCCTTTCACATCATGCAGTCATAGCAGAGCTTGTGAGGATAATAACACGGAGAGAGAGAGGAGGAGGGACGGACACCACATTGACACAAAGAGCGACTATAGGCAGACACACATTCGCCCTGCAAAATGAAGGGAAAAAGAGAATAAAAGAGGTGAATAATTCAGGATCACCCACACTGTGCTGCAGGAGTCCCCACATGCAAACCAGGGCGGCGGTGGAAGAGTAGTACACAGTAAATAAATCATCACACGGAAATAAAAAGGAAAGATCAATCTTTCTCTGTGTCCCATCGAGGAAGGGTTGTTGTTTGGAAATGAATTGGGTGTTAGTCAGTCGCCACAGGTCCCCAGCTGTTGGAAAAGCAGTGGAATTATAGCTGAGTCATGAAAGAGTGAAGACGAGCCTGTTCACGCCTCATGCAAAAAAAAACATCAAAGGTTTCCTCTTGATTTAAAAAGAAAAATGCTTATTTCCTTCTTTCTAACCTCAACTCCCTTTTCCACAAAGTCTGGCTAGCAGGTTATTTGAGTTAAGAGTGTGAGGACGTGACACTGACGCTGTCCACTGTAGGCGAACGGAAAAAGGTTGACAGTGACAGCGGTGGGGGAGATGGGTAATGGAATAGCCTGTATTATTCATATCAGTCCATGACACCTGAGAAATTAGCACTCATCTCATTATCCTCCTCCGAGTGCCAGGGCATGCCGAAAACCCACCCTGTCACCCTGTGTGTGTATGTGGGTTCATGATAGCTGAAATATGGCAATGTCAGGGCACGGTAAGCAGTAATAGAAGGGTGGGTTAATACACACAGCACACGTCCTACACTGAGACGCTTTCTCTTCAGTATTCGCCTTTTCTTTCTGTGTCCGCCCATGTGGCCAAATTGAACAGCTGGCCTGCTCTCGCTCCATAACTCTCCATGGTCTGAGTGACCAGGCCGTCATACTTCACTGGCTCCCAGTGGACAAACACACACTCTTAGCGACACACGCGCTCGTACACAGCGGTGTGCGCGGCGTGGTTTCACTGTGCTGCAGTTCTGCTTGGTCAGTGGAGCAGAGCGTAGAGGAATGTTCCCCTGGCACGGCCCAGCAGGGCGAGGACTCGGGCATTTGGTTGTGTCTCCTCACCCCATCTGTCAGGACAGTGAGTGTTTCTTAACCGTCACACACACTCTCTGTCCTCCTGCTGCGCTTCAATACGGCCGTTACAACGCGGTGCGGGCACAAACAAGCCATGACAGTTATATGTCTGCCTATAGAGAACTACAAGCAGTATGCGGGGGGTCATGTCCAAGAGAAATTCTGAAATGCTGCTACTACTCACTGCTTTAAAGGTCTTCTTTCACGCAAAATGCACTTTTTGATGTATTTTATACATAAATATGTGTCCTCGGTGTGTCAGGGAATTCACAAAGTGTCAGAAAATACAACCCTCTCTCTTTCCCTCCGTACCCAAATCTCTTGGGGGTACAGAATCAGCGTTTCTCTAACAGGGCTGAAATAGAGGGATATGAGGGATGTCTAAAATGCATGATCTGTTTGGTATTGTGAGCAAAACACATCATAGATATGTTTTTTTTATATATTTTATATATCTGAGACCCATAATATATGCCTAAAAATAGCAAGATAGGAGTTCTTTAAAGGAATTCTCGGCCAAAAATTAGTCTATGGAAAATATTGTAAGGATGCTGTGAAATAATAGCAACCGCAGTAAGATTGTATACATTTACAGTTTCTTCACAAATAACAATATTTTTCTAGTGCCTCCTTAAAGCTCAGAAAATAATCATGTTTAGTGATTTACTGGGAAAGTGACAATTGTTTGCCACACACTGAGCATATGGATCAATGGCTGGGAAGCAGATTATGCTGCAGTATCGTCTGAAGGGTTTCAATAGATGTTTTTAAGCTTGGTTCTTCCTCCCATGAATGCATCACTATCTTGTAGTTACTTTAAACCCAGGGTGACTACAGCACTTGTCTGCGAAATAAACAAGCTACACAATTTAAAGTGGAACTGTAATGATTTTTAAGTTTGTTTACAGGTCTTGGGGAATACTATGTGTGAACAAAGGAAGACGAATGCAAGGAAGGGAAAAATAAATGATGGTTACTCTGGATGTGCTGTATCAGTTTTGAACTTATATTGAAAAATTGTCCATATAAAGTCCGACAATGTTACAGATGGCAAATGTATTCATTGGTCTTTGACAGGGGGACCATGAAGCTGAGGGGGTCTTAAGGGTTACAAAAGGGTGCCAAAAAACTATTGCTTGAAAATAATTAGAATTTAGTTTTTTTAAATATGACAACAAATTCATTACAGTAACATGAATCCGACATATTAGCAGTAAAAATAAATTGGCCTATTTGTAGAAATGTTTTTACACAACATTAGTCATCGACAAATTGTTGCCCACTAATCCTCATGCTATAATGTGATCAAGCTAACATGCTAAATCGTTTCCATAATGGTGAACTAGTCATGCTATGGCAACACATCATTTGAATAGCTTAGTTTTGCAGTATTAGTATTTTATATTTCATAAAAGGGTTTGTTTATACATGGCACTTCAAGCATTAATATGCAACTCAATTGTATTTATATGTAGAGGGGGACCTGCTCTTTCAACTAAGGGTTTCTTGGCCTGAAAAACATTTAAGACCCCTGGATTAAAGGATCTTTCAAGCCAACTTGGGGTGCATATTTGACAAAGAAGGGATAGATTTGTCGTGGTCTATTCCATTAACTTGATACTTATGAGGCAACAGAAGCAGGTGGCCTGAATTCATCACAACTTTTAAGGTATAAATACTTCTAATGCTGTCAAAAAAAGAGTTCCTTTATTCTGTTCTAGCCCTCTGCTACTCATGGAAGGAGAAAAGTACAGCATGATGTACGAAGACACACTGAGAGAGGATATGAAAAAAGTCAAGATTGATGAAGGCTGCATTTTCAGTTGGAGCAAGGGGAAGAGGACACGGAGAAGAGAGATTTAGAGCGGAGGGTTATACATTGAACACATTATGTTTTAATAAGTGCACATGCATTCTTTTCTTACGATTAAATATGAGAGGGTGGCAGAGCAAACTCCTGTTTAATATTTACAACCCTCCTTGTCGCTTGGCCCTGCGAGTTGGGCTTGTTTAATATATATTATATAAAATATTAATATATTAAAGGGGTTCACGGCTTCTCTGAGTCACTGCTTGGTCGAACTTTACCAAAAGTGTTGCTCCTAAACTCTGTGACTAACTCCTCCTCTGATCTGTTTCACTGAAACTGGCAATATATGGTACTGTGAGAGAACATGTGATAGTGAAACTGTGTGGGTTGTCAATAGGATGTGTGAAGGCAGCAAATGGGAAACATGGAGTCACATTATCATGGCATACTGCACTTCAAAATGAAAGCATGTAGGAAGGCTGCAGTACATTTTAGGACAAACTCCCAGAAAAGTTTTTTGTCTGTGAACAAAATGTGACAAAACTAAACAATGGTAAGTCTGAGATTGGATCCAGAAAGGTTGGATAGAGATTTGGAAATGAAGTGCAAAGGAACATTATTTGTTCAACTGAAAGCTCAAATACTCCATCAAGGGCTCAGCTGGAGAGAAATGATGAGTCTACAAGAAAAAACCTCCCGACCTCCTCCTTCAATCAGGTCATCACTCCTGTTTTATAACAGCCGGATATGACCTTGCTTTCAACAAAATTATAAATTAAGTGGTGAATTTCTTTACCCTGCATAAATTATATGAAAGGAACCTCTATTAAATATCCAAGAATGTAAGCTGAGCAGTCTGAGTACTAATGGGTTTAGTTTGGTAGATTTAATTAGTTGTAGATGATACCAAAAAATATCACGAACACATTTTGTCAGATTATCTCAAGCTCTTGTAAGCATACATGAGTAAAGTTGTCTAAATGTGTCCTTTTTTCACAAGCTTTTTCATTGCAAACAGACATGAAACATTTCTCAGTACGGTTGCTTTTATGTTTTAGGTTCAGCAAAGTATACACTACTAACACTGTAAACTGGTGTGGGCAATATATATTCACTATCCTTATATACACTTGCTTAAATAGGTCTCCTGCTGCTCTTAAAATTCAACAGAAAACAACGACGCTCCAGCTTTTTATGTGAGCAGCCAATAGTGCACCACTTAGCCAAAGAAGGCTTGTTAGAAGGGCAACTCACTGCATGCCTGCGTGTCCTTCTATCATTCTTCAAAGACCATATTCTCTGTGTATGTCTACAGAACTTCACAGGAGATGTTTGCCCTTCTGTAAAGTATTGTTCCAGCCTCTCTAGGGCCTGACACTGTACCATCCTCTGAGCTGCCTTTCATCTAAAGTCATCTTTTAAATTAACAATCTCAACTCATCAGAGTCCTTGATCATATTAGCATGCAATTCAAATGGTCTTTGCATACTGTAGCTTAACATACATCCCATTCTCTCATTCTTTTAAATGTGTTAATATTACAATTCTTTGTCCTCTATCTTTTTACTTTTGAATTACACCTTTTCATCTCTATCTTAGCTATACTATATATAGCTCTGTGAAGCAATGGTTTCAGTTGCTCGGATCAATAAAGCAAGCTAGCTTAAGCACGGGCTTATAGAGCTGCAGTGTCCTTGTGTCTATGGGTCAGAGAATCTTTAACTGTGTGAGCAAGTCGTTTTTTCTCATATCGTGCTTTGCAGTTAATATGACATTTCCCCTACGAGATAATGACTACTGCTTAAGATGTGCCAAACTACAACAAGAACAAATAAATAAAACCTTAACTTAAATGGCTTCACACTGCACATTACATAATTAAATGTGAAACTTAAA